GCTAGTAGTGCACAGGCTGCATCTTATTCACCTTTTATCATTCAAACTGAATAGCACAGGCTTTTCCACATATTATTATCTTCACCGATATTTATTAAATTGAACGTGAGGCTTAAAGTAAAAATTGTGCATACACACACATATACACAACTACATTCTACTTACCCTCATTAAAATACTAAATTATTTTTTTCTAAAAAGTGTTTTGTATACAATCCTTATTTATGTAGTCGATGAAACACTATATATACAAGCCAGCACTTTGGGAGGCCGAGACGGGTGGATCACGAGGTCAGGAGATTGAGACCATTCTGGCTAATATGGTGAAACCCCGTCTCTACTAAAAAACTGCAAAAAATTAGCTGGGCATGGTGGTACGTGCCTGTAGTCCCAGCTACTCAGGAGGCTGAGGCAGGAGAATCGCTTGAACCCAGAAGGTGGAGGTTGTGGTGGGCCAAGATTGTGCCACTGCACTCAGCCTAGGCAACAGAGCAAGACTCCTTCTCAAAAAAAAAAAAAAAAAAAACCCACATAATGTCAAATATTGTATAAAAAGTATACAAGTTAAAAAAAAAAAAAAAAAGCACTGTCTGTCTTTCTTTCTTAGCTCACAGTGCTAGGAAGCTCATCCTTATAGTGCGAGCACAGGCATCAATACAGTACAATTTCATTAGAGCAATATGACAATATTTTTCTTCTTTGTTACAGATAAAATGCAAAAGATATGAGCATTATTATTAGAGAAAGGAAAGAGAAGTTACTTGTAATACTTTAATAGTTGGTCCCTCCTCCTTTAAAGGAAAGAGGAAGATAGAAGGGGCTTTATCTGCTTCTTCCAGAAGCCCTGAATTATGTATGAGATGCAGTGGTGACGACACACAAAGTAGTTTGTGCTAGCGATTTACAGAAGTACTATTTTATTTTATTTCTAACACAAAATTTAAGTGTCTGAATGCTTTAGGTAGGCACAAAAGGGAACGTGAAGGATGTCTGCGATCATCAAGCCCAACAGGAAGATTAGAGCAAGAAAAGGGAGAACTACTAATAACTGCCACAGTGGAATTCCCAGATTGATCAAAGGGGCCAGTGAATATCACAGCTAGGGCCTCAGGGGAAGTAACTTCTGAAGATTTCTCGTGCCTTAGAGTCAGCAGAAGAACAACTGTCTGAGAGCTGCATCACATGTAACGGAGATTTGGTGGGAGAAACACACAATACATGTCCCCAGGTAGAGTAGTCATCAACAGCTTTGTCTATCTGACAGATATATAAGTTATCCCTTGGTATCCAATAAGGATTGGATCCAAGACTCCAGAAGATACCAAAATCATGGATGCTAAATTTTCTTAAATAAAACGATATAGTGTTTGCTTATAACCTAAGCACATCCTCTCCTACACTTTAAATTATCCCTAGATTACTTAGAATACTTAATACAATATAAATGTTTTGGAAATAGAAATAGTTGTTATGCTATATTTTAAAATTTTTAATAATATTTTCGTCATCACAGAGTTATTTTTTATTTTTATTTTTTCCAAATAGTTTTGATCTTGGGTTGATTGAATCTGCAGACACAGAACACACAGATACTGAGGATCAACAATATATTACTTGCTGCAGCTGAAGATTCAGCAAAGATTTACAGGAAAGATTTACTGTTCACTTTTGGGATTCTTATACATGCCCTCTTTCTCTGTTACAGGCACATCCCAGTTCTAGAGCCCATAAAATTCTCCAAAGGAAAGACATAGAGGTCTCCCTGTCCTACCAGGACTTGCACTAATGGCCTTTTTGCAGTTGCAAGGAAGATGGGGGTGGAGGATAACAATATCTGAATTTCGCTGAATATTTATTCCAAATGAAACTGAGATTTTAAATAGTCTAAAAGCACCAGACTATGCTAAACATATTAAAAGGGTATATTGACTGGCAATTTTAATTATCCATTCCCCTATCCCCAATTACTAACTTCTAAAGGTTGATGAGTGCTTCATAAAACTGGTAGTAGTTAACTAAAATAAAACTATTCCATGTTTGCAGATTGCTGAATTGAGACTATATATTAAAATTGCTACATATATAATAGAATTAGAAGACATTTGGGGAGAATATTTAGTCTATAAATGTTTCTATATGAGAAGAGTAAAATGATGAGAGCTACTTGACTGGGAGTGAATAAATTAGTTTATCATTAAGTCCTGATATAACAAAAGTCACAGATATCCCTTAAGGTTAAGAAAATCTTTGGAGAAGAAACTTTTTTTTACTTTGAAAATAGATAGAATTCAACTACTTAATTCATAAATCATTTAAAAAGAGGATCGGTAAATTAAAAGTCAGCACATCCATAATAAAGTGAAAGTAATATGTTTAAGAAATTAACCTATCCTTTAACATTGACATAAATTACCCCTTGATTTCACTATGAAAGAAGGAAAATAACAGATTATATGGATTATGAATATGACCCAGCATGAACAGTTCTTTCATTCTTAGCAAATGGCCTAACCTCTATTCATACTCTTATAAAAGTTTTATGGTTTTATCCTTAAACAGAGCACAACTCAAATCATGCTTTGGCTTGCAATATGTCTACAGGAGGAACAAACCCATATGTCATGGTAACTGTATAGAACTGCATTTGTACTTCTCTTATGGAGCACAACCACAGCCAAACTAAACCACTATTCTGTACCAAATACGGTTGTCTCAAAAATACAGGAACTAAATATCAGAAAAAAATCCAGTATGTTCAGACAACTGTGTGAGCCATGAAATCCAATCAGTTTTATGCAAAATTCCATCTCGCTTTCAAGTAGAAAAATATATTTACATGTTTTGAAAACTACTTGTTTACATTTGATTAGCACTATATAGAATCTCACGTTATTATTTTCGAGACAGAGTCTCACTATGTCACCCAGGCGCAATCTTGGCTCACTGCAGCCTCTGTCTCTCAGGCTCAAGTGATCCTCTCACCCCTCAGCCTCCTGAGTAGTTAGGACCACAGGCACACGCCCTGTGCCTGGCTAATTTTTATATTTTTTTGTAGAGATGGAGTTTCACCATGTTGCCAGGGCTAAAATTTTTTAAATTTATATTCCTATGAAGAGTTTAAGTTACTTGAATATAGAATTATTTTGTATTTGATATCTCAGGTAATATTTCAACAGTATTTATACATATTTCTTTAGCAAAATGATTGTTTTTAGTACTGAAAGCCTTCACAGACTTTGCCAACAACCTACTTTGTAATATATGTTTTGTGTAAGGATGGCATATCATTAGTTCTCAAGCATTTTCATGGATCCGAAGTCACCTCAAAGGCCTATGAAAACAGACTCGGAGAGTTTAGTAGGTTCACAGTGGAGCCTAAGAATTTGCATTGCTAACAGGTTTCCTGGTGATGCTGATGCTGCTAGCCTGGGGACCACATATACTTTTCAAGAATATTAAAAAATATAATTTTTATCAAGCTACTGATAAAAATTCGGAGACTTTTTTTTCCAAATTATAAGTAATTTGTTAAAAAAATTATTAATATCCAAGTTACAGTAAACTGTTTTTTCATTAATTCCTAAAGAAAAAATAGTTTTAGCTACATTATTAACTTTTCAGGTAATTAACAAATTTAATACTCAAAGTATGCTTGCTGCCAAAGAATCTCCATGTACTTAAATTCATTTTGGCAAAAAATAATATTTGATTTAAAATAAAATAATATAAATCATAATATAAAAACTGCAAGTGACATTTTTAACTATCCACACATGGGTATGCATATGCCATAGCAATATTTTGATAACATGTTCATTAGGTAGCGAAGACATAAACACTCCACCACCTAAGATGTTTCACACTAAATAACAGAATATAAATCAGTGAGCAAATTGCCCATGATTACACAACAAGAAGTAACAAGTAGACTTTGATTACAGCTTTTAGCTAAAATATTATAATTTTCCTACTTATTAAAACTTAGCTTCTTATTAACATGAATATCTCAACATATTTATACTATTTATAGACGAATTCCAAATATATTCCCAGCTCTCTGATTTTGGACTGCTCAAATGTTATGTGCTTAATACAATGAAGAAAAGAAATGTAGAATTGAGCAATGGCCCCCTCCAAAAAAAAAAAAAAAAAAAAACCCAAAAGTGTAAAACACATTTTGAAAGGCTTGGGTGCCTTACCTTTTTATTGCGTAAAATATTGCAATACACATATTTAATAAGTGCTTAATATTACCTTGTAGAACTGGTGTTATATCTGGTGTTCTCCTACATATGTGTCCTATGTGTGATGTAGCTTACAAATGGAGACTTAAATCTTCATTCAAGTCTTTTATATGGTTAAGAATTATAAAAAATTTTTTGTCAGACTATTAAATGTCTAATTATAATGTCCAATTTTTTTATTATTTGGCATTTTCCAGTAGCAATGAAATTACTGTCTCCGAATGAACAGCAGGACACATTCAAGAAGGCAACCAAGAGAATGACACAGGTATTGCACATGCAACCTTCACAATCAGTCTTTTTGGTTCAGATAAATTTTTTTTTTTTTTTTTTTTTTTTTTTGAGACAGAGTTTCGCTCTTGTTCTTAGGCTGGAGTGCAATGGCGCGATCTCGGCTCACCGCAACCTCCGCCTCCTGGGTTCAGGCAATTCTCCTGCCTCAGCCTCCTGAGTAGCTGGGATTACAGGCATGCGCCACCATGCCCAGCTAATTCTTTGTAGTTTTAGTAGAGACGGGGTTTCACCATGTTGACCAGGATGGTCTTGATCTCTTGACCTCGTGATCCACCCGCCTCGGCCTCCCAAAGTGCTGGGATTACAGGCTTGAGCCACCACGCCCAGCCTCAGATAACTTTAAAATCATTCTCGCATCCCCACCCCATGCTTTTTTAGTCCATTGGCCTCTATGTATGACCACTTCTAAAGATTTATAATCAAGAAAACATTACTGTTGTCTTCTGTAACTTGCATACTCACAATCAGGAGGCATCTTTTCCATAAATATCTTGTAATATTCTTGTAGAAGTTCAAAGTTTTCCTGATTAATACTTTCTTGCAAAGAGACATCTCCAAACCTACAAAGAGAAGAAAGAAAACAGTTATGGGTTATAAAATAGTACCAGGAAGTAACACATTTTACCTTTCCTTTTTAAATAGATTGGAACAGTTTTCGAAGGAAAGAGTCTGCCTCATTTTTCAATCTACATTGCCCAATGGTGATTTCAAACATACTCCAATCTCCACTGGTCCGGATTTCACTAATCATTTCTAACACATCAAATATCCTCACAATCATCAAATGTGAACTTAGATGAAATACCATGGGTAAAATACCAGCCTCTGTGCATGAGCATAACGGATATTAGTTTTCCCACCCTACTCCACACCTCCACTGCAGGGCTGCATCCCTGTATGTGTTTAACCAAACCTTCTTTCTTATTATCTATCCAACCTTCCACTTCACTCATGGCAACACAGGGAGGGGTCCAGAAGACAAGCACTGGGCACTGGGCTGCATGCAATCTTGCCCACACTATCAACTGCTGTAGGCACATGTAGAGCCCTCTTCCCAGAGAGTAGATTATTTCTGCTGACATTTTTTTCTATTCATACCATGAAGTCAAATGGTTCTGTACAAATAGTCCCCCACCTCTTGTTCAAGATGAACCTGTCTACCTGTGTGTCACTAACCTTGTGTTCTCTTTGAGAACTGACCAAGTTCAAACCTAAAACCTACTTGTCTCTCTATAAAACTATGCTATGTAAATGGCTTCCAGTAGTATCTCCATCAAAAGCTGGATTTCTAGATGTCAATGGAAAACTTCAGTGTGCATTTTCCCACTCCACTTCAAATGCAACACAATCCAAAATTAAAACTGCCTCCTCCTTTGAATCTTTTCTAAGCAAATATTGATAATCCCCAATATTTTGGCACTAATGCAGGTTCAAAATCTAGGCGTCATTTTGGATTTCCTCTTTTCCTCACCTTACCCACTATTCCTCAGTCATTTTGTGTCTCTTCCTTTTTTCTTTTTCTCAACAGTGGTTGAGAATTGTCATTATATATTAAGACATTTAATTATATCCAGTCTGAACTCTCCTAAAGCTTTCCAAATACCACAGAATTAGGTCTCTAGTCTCTTTCACGTCCAATTTATCTTTTAGACCCTGGTCATCATTCAGTCTGAATGAAAAATGAACTCACTTATACAAAAAATATTTAGTATCAACTATGTACCAGACATTGCACCATGCAATAAATGAAATGCTGGAAAAATTAGTCTAACATACTTTTCATGCTGTCAGTTCACTGAACTTCAATGCTTCTCTCCTCCCTGAAAGGATGACGTCTTATAATCTCCTTAGTTTAGCATCTAAGTTTCCACGACGTCTTCCAAAGCCTCTTGTAGGAATGTAGCTACACCGTCCTCACTTAGCAGCAGTGTCTCAACGCCTTTGGGACTTTTCACGTGCTATCCACCCTTGACTGGAATGTCTTACTTTCCTTGATGGCTTGATTAATTCTGATTCATCTTTTAAAGCCTGGCTCATGTCTTCTTTGATACTTCCCCCATGGACTCATCCCCCATCTGTGAATCACTTTCTTTTATGCACTATTCCTGTCCCTTCCACACCTTTAATTATTGCATCAGCCAAACTGTAATGTAATGTTTGTTGACTTGTCTTCCTCACTGGATTATACATTCTTTCAGGATAGGAATCAGATTCCATGCTTCTTGTTACCCTTTATTCTCCTTATGCCCCATAGCTCTGAAGAGCAGTGCCTGATACAAAGTCAGTGTTCAATATCTATAGAGTTGAACTTGGAGAACAGGGATACAGACGCCCAAAATCTAGAGGAGTTTCCATAGAATCTGAAAGATACTCTTCTAAGTTTTTCAGACACTACAATCAACTGGTATTTTAAAAATACCATCCTTCATCAGGCGCAGTGGCTCACATCTAAAATCCCAGGACTTTGGGAGGCCGAGGCAGGCAGATCACGCAGTCAAGAGATGGAGACCATCCTGGACAAAATGGTGAAACCCATCTCTACTAAAAATACAAAAATTACTGGCATGATGGCACATGCCTGTAATCCCAGCTACTCAGGAGGCTGAGGCAGGAGAATCACTTGAACTAGGGAGGCAGAGGTTGCAGCGAGCCGAGATCGTGCCACTGCACTCCTGCCTGGCAACAGAGTGAGGCCTTGTCTCTAAATAAATAAATAAATAAATAAATAAATAAATAAATAAAATAAACCATCCTTGCTGGAATAATAATAGTGTTATGAAGTAAATGTTTGTGTTGTCCTAAAATTCGTATGAGGAAGCCCTAACCCCCAAAACGGCAGTATTTAGAGATAAGGCCTATAAGGGGTAAAGTTAAATGAGATCATGAGGGTGGGCTCTCTCTTTCCACAAACACAAAGAATAGGTTGTGAGAACAGACAGGGAGCAATGTGGTCAGTTGTCTGACAGCCGGAAAAGCCCTCAACAGAAACCAAATTGGCTAGAACCTTGACCTTGGAAATCCCAGCCTCCTGAGCTATGAGAAACAAATTTCTGTTGTTTAAGCCACCCAGTCTATAGTAGTTTGTTACAGTAGCCCAAGCAGACCAGTGGTATTTATTTATCTAAGAATGGTCATATACAACATCTACACTTTGGTTTTGAGTAAACAGTAGTAAAACATTACTCCTAGATCACATAGCATATCTAACACGTAGATGTTGCCTTATAATGCCCAAAATTCAGAATCAGGGAAAGGAGGTTCAGAGAACAGAGAGGAAGCGACTTCCTCGAATTAGCAGTTGGTTGATGTCAGAGTGCTATGCAAATTCAGACCTCCTGCTTCTCTCAGTGTTTTCTCTACTTTGCCATTTTGCCTCCTTTTCCAGTCTTGTGAGTCTTGCTCAGCTTACATGTGTGAAAAAAGTGCACTCTTAGCATGCAAGAGAGATCAGAAGGAAAGGACACCTCTTAAATAAAATGACTGACAACTAGAACAGTCACAATGACATGAATGATACAAATTAGTCCAGTTTAGAAGCCTTAAAAATGTAATGCTGACTAGTCTTTGAAAAGTCTGTAAATGGAAGAGTCTCATCTGTCTCTCAAGATCACAATCACAGGCTTTATTAATTCCAATCCAAAACATTCTACTCTAGCGTACCAAAGAAGAGAGAATTTACAGTGCTATTCCCCTTCTCCAAGTTGTACAGTTTATGCTCAGGAATATCATTCATCTCAAACACTGAATTTGCTGAGAAACAAATATATAGAGATAAATAGAATATAATCTGATCCTAGACACTAGCTTTCAAAAGTGCTTTAATATCAAGGCAATGAGTATGCTAAGCACTTTTAAACTTACCTATGGGGCAGGGGTCACTTGGAGAGTGGATTATAGACAAGAAAGCTTATTAAATATTATAATATCAAAGAATGTCTAACTCCCCAAATTGATGCCTGTGAAGGAGCTTCTCCAGCCAGCCCCAACAGCCAAGATAGTAACTTCTTTCTCCAAAATATTTCAAAAGTATGCTCTATTATCCTTTTTTGTTTGTTTTTGAGACAGTTTTGCTAGTGTTGCCCAGTCTGGAGAAAATGATGTAATCTCAGGCTCACTGCAACCTCCACCTCCTGGGGTTCAAGCGATTTTCCTTTCTTAGCCTCCTGAATAGCTGGGATTACAGACACACACCACTATGCCCAGCTAATTTTTATTTTTGCATTTTTAGTAGAGACGGGGTTTCACCATGTTGACCAGGCTGGTCTTGAACTCCTGATCTCAGGTGATCCACCCTCCTCAGCCTCCCAAAGTGCTAGGATTACAGATGTGAGCCACTGCGCCTGGCCTGTTCTATGATCTTTAACTGTTATCTACATATTCTGTAATCTCTATATGTGAAACACATAAGATGTAAAAATAAGTATTTTAAACAAGTGATTTTTGTTTTGTTTTGTTTTTTTTTGTTTGTTTGTTTGTTTTGAGACAGAGTCTCACTCTGTCACCCAGACTGAAGTGCAGTGGCACAATCTAGGCTCACCACAACTTCCGCCACCCAGGTTCAAGCAATTCTTCTGCCTCAGCCTCCTGAGTAATAGCTGGGATTGCAGGCACCTGCCACCATGCCCAGCTAATTTTTGTATTTGTAGTAGAAATAAGGTTACACCATGTTGGCAAGGCTGGTCTCGAACTCCTGACCTCAGGTGATCCACCTGCCTTGGCCTCCCAAAGTGCTGGGATTACAGGTGTAAGCCACCATGCCCCGCCAAAAAAACAACAAAAAAACAAACAAACAAAAAAAAACCTGTTTTTTTAACAGTGACTCATGGGATCATAATACAATCATTTGTTGGCTCAGCAGGTCACTATAAAAAAAAATGTTAACATTACCAAATAATAACTATTATAATAAACACAATAAAAGATGACTATTCTGTTTTAGATAAAAATGTTGACACTATTAGCTGTTTACAATATGGAGGTATGTATCAACATAAATTCCGAACTTTAATATACACATAGGTATTTGTAAACAAAGAAGGTTAATCCATGCGAATGCTTTATTTATTATTAGCACCAAGATTTTCCTCAATGTTTTTGCCACATTTAAATTTGATTTGGGCCAGGATTCCTTAAATATTAAAATTTACCTTCTACATCAAATAATTTGGTATTGATAAAAAGGAAAATATTACCTATAAATCGAGTTAGTTTTATATGCAGACACATGTTGGACTTCTCATCATATACTTAAAAGGAACAAAGAAAAAACTCAAGTGCCACTCTTAAACCAAAGCTTACCTCTCAGCCAGAGTTTGCTGTTCGTTGATTCCAACGTTAAAGAGTACGGGATACACATGAAGCAACTGCCCTTCTTTAATCTGTAGAGGCAGTGACTCAAACATTCTGGCTGGAAGCTTGACCTCTACCACGTAATGTTCTCTAAAGAAGGCAGAGGACAAAGGGAAGAAGCCTTACTTATTTGTTTTATGTTATTTTAGATTTATTGGAAGAAAACAATAAAAGGGTTGGAATATAGCACTGATTTAGGTTTCTGTTTGCTATATGCTTATATTCCTCATTCATTCTTCTCCTTACTAACTTACTTGACATGAAAAATTGTTAGAATTCATTTACATGTATGACTTCTCTACCTCCCTCTGAATTCCTTTAGGAAAGAAATGTTTAGTTCATTTTTGCATACCCAGGGTCATGTGCATCGATAGTCTCAATTTTTTTTCTTTATTTATTTTTAAAACTCAATCAATCCTAAGAATAAGAACACTAATTTAATGATTGCTGTTTCAATAAGGTAAAGCTAAATAAACCAAATCATTTATATAATTTTTTGGTATGACCTGATTGTTATTACTCTTGATGAGTGTTTCTGTTTATGATGGGCTGATGGAAAGGTAATGGTTTTATTGCTTAGATTGTAACTTTTGGGAATTCTGGTCATTTTGAAACATTAACATATCGCAAGAGCATTTTTCATTGGAAATGTCCATTAAAAACTATCCCTATTTTTTTAATGCTGAAAAAAAAATTTTTAATTGTACTTAAATTCTGGGGTACATGTGCAGAACATGCAGGTTTGTTACATAAATATACATGTGCCATGGTGGTCGGCTGCATCCCCATCACCCCCTCATCTACCTTAGGTATTTCTCCTAATGCTATCCCTCCCCTAGACCCCCACACCCCGACAGTCACCGGTGTGTGATGTTCCCCTCCCTGTGTCCATGTGTTCTCATTGTTCAACACTCACTTATGAATGGGAACAGGCAGTGTTTGGTTTTCTGTTCTTGTGTTAGTTGGCTGAGAATGATGGTTTCCAGCCTCATCCCTGTCCCTGGAATATGATTAATAAGAGTAGCTACTTATATATTTTAAAAATTGACATCTTCTGATTCAGTGAGTATAGAAATTTAGAAAGTTTTGCCCAGAGGCTGGGAAAATCCATGTGTTTCAAGAACTATTTAGAATGGCGGTATTGTAAAATACATATTGGAGAAATAAGCATAGAGCAAATAGTGAGCATTTTTGTGAAAATCTTTTTAATTTCTCCTAGTAGAACATTATTGATAAAGAGTATGGACCACTGACCCTGAGACTTGTCTCTTCCTAGCTATGAAACAGAGACCTGGTAAATACCAAGAATTTAGCAAGCAGGGATGTTAGCAATACCTTCAGATGAATAAGCACATTATTTTTCTTTGTTTAATTGCTCTCAATGCCATTTACAATAAGCTGGTTAACAGTCTTTCAGGAATATGAGAAGCATCAATGAGTCAGTTCATGTTTTAAAATTGTTCCAAAGGTGAAACATATAATTTCTTTGTGATAATTTTACCAGCTTAAGAAATAATTGATATGAACTCATTCATTTTAAGTATATAATTCATACTTTTAGCGAATTTACAGAATTTCACAATCATGACAATAATCCAGGTTTAGTACATTTCCATCAACTTAAAAAGATTCCGTATGCCTGTTTATAGTCAACTGTACTATTACTGCCAGTCCAGAAAGCCACTCATCTATTTTCTCCCTATTTCCTATGAATGAATTTTATTTTTCTGCATACATCCCATGAATTGACTCATACAGTATATAATCTTTTCTGTCAGGCCTTTTTCACCTAGCATAATGTTTTTGGGGTCATCCATGTTGTGCCACGTATCAGTAGCTTGTTCCTTCTTATTAGTGAATAGCATTCTATTGTATAGATATCACATTTTATCTACACATTTATTAGCTGATGGATACTTGGATTACTCCATGATTTGGGGTATTATTAATAATGCTGCTATGAACATGCGGGAATGAGCCATAGTGTGAAAGTACGTTTCATTTTCTCTTGGGTATATGTCTAAGAGTCATACGGTAATTTTATATTTAACTTTTTAAGACTGCCAAACTGTTTTTAAAGTGACATTTCCACCAGCAATGTACAAGAGTTCCAAGTTTTCCACATTCTCACCAACATTTGCTCTTATCTGATGATTCTAGTGTGAGTGAATTGGCATCTGTGATTTTAAATTTATTCTCCTAATGACGAATTAGGTTGAATATGTTTTCTTGTACTTATAAATCATTCATATATCCTTTATGGTGAAATGGCTATTCAAACTTTTTGCTCACATTTCAATTAGGTTTTTGGTGTCACTATTATTGAGTTGTAACATTTATTTACATATTCTGAATATGAGTGCTTTTTCAAATATATGATTTGTAAATATTATCTTCTAATTTGTGGCTTGTCTTTTCATTTACTTAATGGTATTTTTTGATGTTTAAATGTTTATAATTTTGATGAAGTCCTATTTATCTATTTTCTTCTTTTATGGGTCTTGATTTTTGGGTTATGTCTAAGAACTCATTACCTAAACACAACTTACAAATACTTCCTCCTGCATTTTCTTCTAGATTTACAGTTTTAGTGCTTACACTTAGGCCTATAATGTATCATGAGCTAGTTTTTGTATATGTGTAAATTCTTCTCTTTACATATAGAGAGGCCAATTGTTCCAGCATCGTTTTATGAAAAGACTCTCTAGTTTCCAATGAATTACCTTGGGATCTCTCGTGAAAATCAATTGATTTTAAGGATAATAATTTATTTCTGGACAATAAATTTTATTCTATTAATCTACATGTATATTCTTATGCTAGTACTACACTGTCTTGATTATCATAGCTCTGTAGTAATTTGTGAAGTCAGAAAGTATAAGGTTTCCACTTTCTTCTTCTTTTGCAAAGTTGTTCTTCTTTTACAAAATATCTGGGTCCTTTGCATTTACATATAAATTTTAGGTTAGGCTCTCTAATTTCTGCAAAAAGACTACTGAGATTTAGATAGCGATTGCAATGAATCTATAAATCAATTATGAAGAATTACTATTTAAACAATATTGAGTCCTCTAATCCATGAACACAGGCTGTCTCTCCATTTGTTGGATTCTATTAATTTCTCTCAGCAATATTTCATGTGTTCTGTGTACAACATTCAGACTAACTTTGTTAAATTTATACCTATTTTTTTTTTTTGTAATGGTGATTTAGACTCGTTAATCTAAACCACCACTGTTTCTGACAACATGCAGGATTGTGCTATTTCCTACTCCAATCCAAGCCAAGTTAGTCCTCTAGTAGCAAAGCTGCTGGTGTTAATGGCCTTGCCCTAGGAAAACTGTGTTCGCAGGGCCGGGGTTGATGGGAGCAGTCCTCAGCAAAATGCCACAGACTCTAACTGATGTTGCCCAATGTTCACTAGTTTTTCACAAACAAGTACTTCTGAATTTGTGGTGTGCATCCAGTTTATTCTGTTTGTCCTAAAATGGTTGTTTTGGATTATTTCTGGTTGTAACATTGCTTTTGGAGACAGGGTGCGCTAAGCTGCTCACATCATCATTCTAGGAGTCATGTCCCCACCTGTATGATCACTTTTGAATTTTGGTACTGCTTGAAGAACTTCCTCAGAAAAAGCATACTGTACTCTGCCTATACCAAATGGCCTGGTAAGCTTTCCTTAAACTTTGGGATATAAGTATATAAAAACGTTTTACTTTTAATAATAAACTTCAGAGAAATATAGAATTGTACTGTTTTTCAGGTATGCATATGAGCAATTTTATTCTTTTTCTCCCAGTGAATGGCAAGTTAAGCACTAATTCTAGGTAAATATTTAGTTTCTGAGGATGTGGGTTTTTAAAAATTATACTTTAAGTTTTGGGGTACATGTGTAGAATGTGCAGGTTACATAGTTATACATGTGTCATGGTGGTTCGCTGCGTCCATCATCCCATCACCTACAATAGGTATTTCGCTTAATGCTATCCCTCTCCTAACCCCTCACCCTCCGACAGGCCCCTGTGTGTGACGTTCCCCTCCCTGTGTCCATGTGTTCTCATTGTTCAACTCCCACATGTGGGTTTTTTTGTGTGTGTAAGAAAGTCACTTCTCAGTCAACCATGTGTTTCTGGGCATCCTTCACCACAAAATTTAAAATAATTATTTTATGTTTACCATCAACAGGAAAACAAGTTTACTTTGAACTTTTATACTTAGTCTCTTTTGCATCTCTCTCTAGCATCGAAAGGGTTCTCCCTCTCATATATTCATGTTTTGAACCTGACCTGAAAATGTTTCAAATTTTAAATATCATCATGCAGCAATTAAAAGCACTAACGCCAGGATGGTTAGTTCTCCTGATTGAGACAACTTACTATAGGATGTACCTCTTCTGTTGGAGGTCTGTTCTACACACTATCATTTTTCTTAATTATTTCTGATTTTTTCCTCTCATCCACTGACCTTTGAAGCTATTTATTGAAAACCCTTCTCGGAAATCTCACAGTCTGAGAGTGAGTTGTCAAAAATAATTAAGAAAAATGGTGCTATGTTCCCCTGACACAGAAATATATCTTTTCTAAAATGTTGCTGCTTTTAACTGAATTTAAAGTCATTTCAAAAATTATGACTCTATTAACTGAACAATTCCCACAAAAGTAAAAACACCCAGAGCTTTGGATGAGATAGTAATAAGGAGAAAAATGTTCTCATGCAGGCTATTACTCTGAATTTCTAGTATTTTGCGGGCAAGTACTGCCATACTCACTTCACTACAATTTAAAACATTCATGAGATGACCAGGAGTTTTTCTAGATCATCCCTTATCATATCACCCATGTTTATTTCTTACCAAAAAGGAAAAGAAAGCAGAAGAAAAATTCCCAAATCAAACCTGAATCCCTTGCCTCCTGTGACAGGAGTTAACACGACGTGTCTAACACAGCCTGGTCTCCAGGAAGTGAGCACTGCTTACCGTCTTCCTGTTATAACTGGCAAGACATCGTTGGATTTGGCTTCAATTATTTTAAATGCGACTTTCTTTAAATCGGAAATGCCAACAGCCATGTCCTCTAGCATTCCAATTTCATCGCCTAAACAATGGAAAAGGCACTTAGTTACAAACAAACATTTGAGGAAAATGTCACTGGCTACTATGCCTCCCTGCTGAAATTTGTTCTAGCATTTTAGTGAATGAGTTTCTGAATGCAGTGAACCTACTCTAGACACTTTTCCTCAGAGGCTGAAGGTTTTCCTTAGTGAAATGAGAAACATTTCAATGGACTTCAGAAGTCAATCTACTCTTTGAAGGAAGGAAGCATGTGGACATTTGCTGTGAGACCACAGAGAGGTTTTAACCCCTTGATGATTTGTGTGCCTTTCTTTCCATTGTTGAGACTGATATTTGCTATCTAGAAATAACAGAGATTTGCTATCTAGAAATAACAAAGGTAACTGAACTGATAATCACTGACCCAAGTTCATGCTAGTTTTGTATCTCCATACATTAACAAATGAAGCCTGAGAAGGAGATCATTACTATTCTTGATCGGCAGTCTTAACAGATGTATGTGAGCCACATATGTAATTTGAAACTTCCTGGTAGTCATTTTTTAAAATAGTGAAATTAAAAAGGTAGAATTAATTTTAATAATATATTTTACTTAATCCAGTATATCCAACATACCATTTCCATTGTAAATATAAAATGATTAATTATTATTATTATTATTTTTAAAGATGGGGTTTCACCATGATGGCCAGGCTGATCTTGAACTCCTGACCTCAGGTGATCCACCCACCTCGGACTCCCAAAGTGCTAGGACTACAGGCATGAGCCACTGCGCCCGGCCAAAATGATTAATTATTAATATAAAAATATTTTAAAACTAGTTTTTGAAACCTGGTAGGCATATCTAGTACATATTGATTTGGACCAGACACATCTCAAGTGCTCAACAGTCACATGAGGCACACGAGGCTACTATATTGAACAGTACAGTTCTAGACATTACAGAGTTGAGACTTTAAAAATCTAGTCATTCAAACTATGTTGGCACAGAGCCTTTTATATTAAAAAAGCCAGATAGCTGCTCAGGAGTCCACTCTGAAGTAATCTATAATTCAATTTTCAAAACATAATAGGAGGCAAAAGTAAGTCACAAGGTAAATGCAAAAAACTGAAAGTTACATTATTTTTGTAATACTTGGTGCAATAAAAGTTTACCTCTTATTTTTATGTTTTCCTGAAAAATTTATGGATTAAATATCCTTATGAATAGAAATGTGATTTTAACTGGTACTAAAGCAATACTCACTGTATGTACTCAGCAGTCCTTCATATTGTACTATCAACCCCACTGTGTGAAGCTGCTGTAGGAAGCCTGGGTCATACAGACTTGTCTGTAATTTGATGATAAAACCACAAACCAATCCAGCAAGCTGAAAACAAAATATTGATAAGATTTACTGCAGCTGGCAAATGTATTCATTTTATTTTGAAATATTTAAGACTTCTGAGGCATCACAGTTTCAATTCTCAGGTATGTGTAACAAAGCTACAACCATTTGGTAGACATATTAAAACAAGCTGACAGTCTTTGATGTAGGATTGCTGTGTATAAAAGTCTTGGGGAAGGTAGACGTGTAAAGGGAGAAAGAATATGGACAGGAGTCAGGTTGACTGATGGGTCTTCAAATCTTATGTTTACCATTTCTAACAGTAAAACCATAAACACTTGCAAATTTTATCATTTTCTGTACATGTAGAATAGAGATGGCAGTAACCATTTCACAGAACACTAAAAGAACACCATGATGAAACATGTATGTATAGGGCAGAGCATGTTTCCCATACCTGGTTAGCGCCACGTGCCACTGGACCCTTCATGAAATAATGGGAGAAAGGGACAGTTTGGCTAAAACATTCCCTTTTCCTAGAATGTTAGGAAAGAAAAGTCTTTTTCCTTTTCATGGGGCTGGAGGGAGTTGGGGTGAAGGAAGGCACCAGCACAGCCACTGTGATGGAGGCAGGCCTTGGCGTTATGAATCGCGTTGGGTGTAGACAAAGAAGGTGGCCCTGTCAAACCTCCCATCCAAGCCTTACTGCCCTGGAAACTTATTTTAAAAACAAAATAAGAGATCATTGTGAAACCCTGTCCCAGGATTAATGGGGGAGCTGTCCAAACAAGCAGCTGCCAACAGACCCCCTTGCCAAGTCCTAGCTTGTCACCTGCAGTGCAAGGCAACAATCCCTTCCCTTACACTGCATGTAGACCCCAGAGAATAATACAAAGATGGCAACCACTTCCTTCACAGACTTCATGCCCTGTGAAGCAGAATTTATATTTTGGAGACTTGACCATTTCTTTTCAGAAATAAATACTTAAGGTCTCATAAACTTTGCTTCGGATATTCAGCTGATATTTATCATGAATTAGAAAAATGAGGTACCAAAACTTTAAGGATCTTTTTAAAAATAAAACTGTCCAAATCAGAATTCTATCATCATCAAAGACCTGATGTTAACACTTCGGCACTGTTTGTACTAACAATAACAACAGGCACCTACTGCTTGACTGAAGACGATGTCTCTTCTTAGCGTCAGCATCAGACACTGGGGCAAGCTGTATGCAAGTTCCTGAAGGAGCACAAACGTCAGGGACTGCTTGGCTCGGTTCACCACTTCTCCCATGCAGTCCTTCAGGGTAAGGATGAGGGGATACAACTGTTCATACCAGTCCTCTGGGGGGAGGGGGGTAAGAACAGTGCAATAGATGAAGGAAGGTCTTGGAATATAACGCAGAACCAACTTCCAACTTATTTTAAATTTTTCAGTGAAGTCAGACATATTCTTAAGGATTCAAAAAGATTAGAACTGAAGGTCTTTAATTATGTCTCCTGAACTCTGCCATGTCTATAAGCAGCCACCCATCGGATCTCTCCACGTAGATGCATTTGACATGTTTGCAGCAGATTGCCTCTCTTCTCTGCTCATCTTTAATCTGTGCACTGCCTGTATCTCAGTGAGTTGTGCTATCAAACTTTTCTCATACTGGGAAAAAAGTTTGACTGGACTTCCTCTTCTGCAATTTTCACACGAATTTGTTTGTCTGAACATACATGTAAAAATCCTCATTAAATTAGTTCTATTACCATAATAGTCTATCAGCATGCATCCCCTCCTTGTCCACGCACATTGTGGTTTATTGCCCTCCCCTGGATCACTTCCAGGACCACTCCCTAACCCATCTCCCTTCCTCCAGTCATACTCTACTGAACTCCCTTCTCAACAGTGTTGCCAGAAAGATTTCTAATCAGTTTGTATCTGATTCTATCACTCACTTCTTACTTCTTAAAATATTTTGAAAACAACAACAACAACAAAATTAAAGCATGCAGAATAAAGTTCAAACTAATGAAAGATTCTCCATTATCTAAACTTTGCATATTTGTCTAATCTCATCTTTCAGAACTTTATCTGCTGTCTTGAGTCTCAGGTGAAGTGAACAACATATATTTCCTTAAACCTATCCTGTTTTCTCATCCCAATGTCTTTGCAAATCCTATCTCCTCTCCTAGAACACTCTATTTCTACTTTTCTTCCTGACAACACTTTTATCTCCTCTGCAAACTCAATTCAGGATTTCTCCTCTCTAGGAAGTCTTCCTTCACTTCCCCCCTACTCCCCTTCCCTGTTCCCTGAAGTTTGGGTTGAGCTGACTTCGTTTTGTGCCCATAGCTTCTTGTCCTTACTGTTCCAGGACTATTCACACACTACTCATTGTTTTCCTCTGCAAGAAAGACAACTCACTGAGGGCAAGGAATTTATTTTTTAATCACTGAATCCCTAGAACTTAGCATAGTGCCTCACCTATAGTAAATACTCAGTAAGTTTTAATTGAATGAGAACAACTACAATAAATATAACAACGTTTTAAAAAGATATAGCCAGGTATAGGCAAGTCAAGTTTGGGGCAGTATTTTGGATTAAAATAGCTGTTCTTCAAATGAGAATGCAAAATTGAGACCATTTGTGCTATTTGTGTGTCTAGATTTCTAACGTGCATCAATTATACAATTATGACTTTGGTATGATATAGAAACAATTTATGTTCTATTTCAGTTAATTTGGAGATCAAAGCCCTGGCAAATGTTAAATATCATAAATTCTTGACTGTATGACATTCCATTAATATATAAATAAATTAATGGACAAATACAATTTAATATGAATGAGTGCATGCTGCGAAATTAATTATAAAGCAGGAACTGAAATGATATGATCTCCTCATCATAAGAGTGCAAGCATTATTGTGAGTAATATGAGAGATAAATAACCAGTTAAGACCTTGAAAGAGGGACAGAGAATAATAAAAAGAATCATAATCACTACTGTACCATGTCTACTGTCACTTATTTATTTTATGTTGTGGTATAATAGGCTAGATGAAATAAACTGAAAGGGTTGAAAGGATAATTAATGGCCCCAACATAATAAAAAGATATGTTCATGTTAATATTCTATGAAATGCCCATGTGATGCTATAATGTAAAATACATAAGAATGTTAGAAATTGTTGTTTAAAAATATTGTAGACTTAAGTGCTATTATAAGGATAAAAACATAGAGAAAGAGGAATGTCAAAGAGGCCTATTAATGCATAATCATCTACTATTGGACAAACTTATAGGCAGCCTAGAATAAAATGTGAACAATGGTTCAATTTAAACAAGCATCAGTTGATTCTTATGTTACTGTCATGTGTAAAAGGAAAAATGGAGGTACACTGGATTTTCTTTTTCATAATAAAAGATACATCAATAGATACCAAGAATGAACATCCTATATTCCTATTTTTTTCTTATTTGTGTTTTTCAATCTCCTGTTCTCTTTCTCACTTTCTTATTTGTTGCTCTCCATACGAATGGGCGGACTAATAGACACAGGAAAGCACTAGAAAAAACTTCAATAAATTAACCCAGGTGTAAATTTTAAATGATAACAGAGTGAAAACTGATTTTGTTCTGTGCTTAGCTCTGCAGAGATCAGTTTCTACTAACTTACAAACATAAAATACAGCTTCTGTGCAGTAGGTGGCACTGCTTTATCAGGCTGAAGTAGAACTACTTCCACTTACTGCAGTCAAGTAACTGACTGTATTTTTGTATGCAGTGGGATAGCTCCCAAACAGCATGGACTTACTGTTTAAGCATCCTGCATCATACTATCCTGAATGAAGTGCTCAATACTTTATATGCTCTTTCTAGTTAGAAAATTAAAAAAATAAGTGGCCACATTTTTTTCTTGCAAACTATTAAGTGACAATTCTAATTAAATATTTCTCTTAAAAGCATTTAAAAGAGAAAACTTTGCAGATTTTCTCATTAGCATAAGGATAATTGCTTTATTTCACTTCCATGTTCACTTATTTGACCAGTTGATTCTTAACTTAATTATAAATTACAATCAGACAACCAAAGAAACAAAACCCAAACAAGTCTGGTTTCCAGTTCTACTAGAATAGAAGCAAAACACTGGGGAGAAAAAGAAACACATAATATTCGAAACCTAGGAACATGGTTAGATACTAACAATATCCTGATACTAACAATATTCCAGTGTCTCTGTTTAGCATAATTATATATACTTTTTATGGCTAAAATTTCAGGAAAATGACAATATAGGAAAGCATTAATTATGAATGAGAAAATTACAAGTTTGTGAGAAAGGTAAACTCTTTAAAATAGTAGTAAGCCTTCTATGGAAGAGCATAAGTGAGAGAGCTAAAAATACTTTTTTTTTCTAGGAAAGAAACAATTTAAGTTGAGCAGATAATGGAAAATGGTACTGGCAAATGCAAATTCCAATGATTCCAGGTTTTCTTCTCTGTTAATATTCAGTCAGTGTAAATCTCAGGTTCTGAAATAAACACAGTGACTATGACAGGCCAAAGCAAGGCTAAGTTGTTCATAAATGGCCTTTTTTCTCCAATGAACATCCCAAATCATTCTCACAAAGGAACAGTAAATGCTTTAGTTTTTGCTTTAAAATATGTTTTTTTTGGGGGGGGGAAGCTCTTGGCAGATTTGAGACTGTTGACACTTGTCTCTCACTTTTGTGTCTCTCCATACCTCACAATTTACATGGGGTTTACCTGGTCCTCCAGAGAAAGATGAACGTGGTGTTCATTCTGTCGTATGTTTGTGTGTGTGTGTGTGTGTACACATATGATCTTAGCTGAAACTTGAAGAAACTAAACTCAGAAAGGTAGATGTGTGCATTTCAGGATTTTGTGCTTTTATACACACACACACACACACACACACACACACACACACACACACATTGATACACCTAGTGAAACTAAGGGTGCCCCACAACACAGTCACTGCCCCGCCATCTCTCCCCTGAGCCAACTAGCCTAGCAGGCAATAAGTGTGATTTTATTCCCTGGGCTCCTTTCCATGACAGAGGAAAATACTAAGAGAATGTTTTAGTGTCTCTATAAAAATTTGCTGAGACTCCTTAACCCTGAGACCAACAAGCAAAGTCTTTCCTCGGGAAAACATAAAAAGCATGTGGCTTAGCTGAGCTTTTCCTGAGCTTTGTGAAGTGTATTGGAAGCCATCCAAGCACAGCCTCTGTTTTCCAGCCCTCTCCTTGCTTCTCAGACATATTCAAGGGAAGCTCACTGAAGGATTCAGAGAATGACTGCTGGGTGCCCCCCTCGCCTCCTCCACACACCATCTATTTCCTGTGCAGGATGTTCATGTCCTCTGAGCTCAATGGCTCTTATGTTTCTCAGGAGAAAAATAAAAGAGCCAAATATCAACCAACTGTAGCAGAGCATCATGCTTTCTTTCCAATTTCTGAGCCATTCTCTTCTCAGGTACTTGGTCTTTTTTACTCATTTAAAATAATTAACTTCACAAAAGCTTGTAGCCATTCTTATTTTTGTTATCACAACCTTTCAGACACAGAAAAAAGAAAAGCGAAAAGATCACACATCCATTAAACTTTATGCAAAGAGATAAGGGAAGAAATGAGCCAGCTCTTAGGATTCTCTTAAGGTAACAAGATGATGAACTGTGAAGCCAAGCAATTAGAATGGCCTTTAAGGGCAGCAATAAAATTCCCAAGGTCAACACAGACCAAACTCACAGCCAGCAGGGGTTTTAATCTATGCCTGAACCTCAGGTAGCACAGAAATGGTGATGGGTTCATGGCTGGGGGCTGGGGGTGGGAGAAATCAATTTCTTGCTTATAAAATTTTTGTTGACTTTGAAGGGCTTGTTCCTTCAAAGGAACAGGGGTTGATGTACCTCTCTATGTGCCTCTCTGAGCAAAGTTCTTGTCTTTCAGGCACAATTTTGCAGTGTCAACATCATAATGTGAAGGTATCAATTAATAATAAGGCTTCTTTTGCAGACATTTTATAGTCAGTTTCTTTGTATGGGCATAATGCATGTAGCCAACTTTGGTCAGAGACACTGACACCTGCCTATAGGAGGCCTCTAAATATCTGGACATATCCTAGGGGCATAGGGCAGAGAAACTAGGCTAATTCCAGACAACAGAAGAGTAATCAGGAAAAGAAAAGCGCCTGTGGAGAGTCAGCTGCCTGGAATATTTTCTGGGCCACTCAGAATGTCCTTCTCCAAGCCTTCCTGACCCTCTGTCTGTCTTTATGATCTGCTGCCTGTCTCTGATACAGGAATGGAGAAATCAATTTTTATTTATC